TCTGTTAAATCTTAAAAAAATATTTTATGAGTACTAATCAAATCTATCATATTCTTGTATTTTCTATATTATTAAATTTATTTTGTTTTGTATACAATAACACTCATTTTCTTAAAAATTTTTTTAATGAGTTTGTGTATCCTTCGATCAAATTTTGTCATTGTTCATCTAAGTATTCATAATTAAATCCACATTTAAGTGAATTTGTGTACCTTTCGATCAAATTAATGTAATTACTTTTATTGGTACATTATTTGAGTTATTCATTTCTATCAAGTTCATTATAATTTTATCTCATACTTCATATATTAATATTAATGACACTAACTTTTAAGGTTTATTTATTTTACTTAATTTCTTGTGTTTTATATTATATAATTGAGAGTTATGCATTAAAACTACAATTAATATGAATAAACATAAATGAAAAATTATTGGAAATACCTTCTAATATAAAACTGTTTGTTTTATTGATATGGACACTGTAAAAAGAGAAAAAATTCTCTAATTATATAATAGATTATTCATCTCCAATTAAGTCTTACTTTTGTATGATTTGGTTATAGCCATTTGGATTTACTGGACACTAATGCCACGCGAGAATTTATTTGATTAAATTTTTAAACTAATTCATGTCTTCTTAGTTTTATAAACACTTGTCAAATTAATTTTACACTTTCACTAAGAAATTTCTAGTAGTCACTTAGCTAGTAGTCACTTTCACTATAAAATTTCAAGTAGTCAATTTAGCTATGAGGTTACAAGTGTATATATTTCCTTTTTTGCATCGAATTAACCACAACTAGCATCATAGAACATTTGAAAATCAATAATATAACTTCTCTCTTCTTCCCAAGAAACAAAAAACATACCAAGTTTTTCCTGTTGTTTGTACCCTCTATAATTCAACAGGTCTAGGTAGGTCTATGTACACACAATATGATTTATTTTTCCTGTTGTTTGTATATTGTATCAACATCGGACCCATTAACTATCCATCTTCCTTACCTCAACATTATCACATTATATGAAAGTATTCCTAAAGTGTTGGTTAATTTATTTTGAATTAGAGAATTTATAACTAGTAAAGATTATACAGAGGGATTAGACCTTTTTTTAATCCGCAACCTGTAAATTTAAATTAATGTGATGAAGCATCACCACTACTAGCTAACACAAATCACTAGACCATATATTTTATATTCCATTAGATCTCATTTTT